ATTCAAATACTAACTAAACAATTAGCCAACATATTAGTTTAAATATTAATTTAAGGGCCATCGACTAAATTGATGGCCGTTCAAATACTAATATAGCGTTGAGAGGCTCAAACAGCACAACCTCGACTGTTCTACCGCACTTCAGCCAGGGTGAACAAATCAATTGATTTATCACTTAAAATTTTACTCTATTTAACCACTATTTCTACGGCTCTGTATGTTTATTTTATTGTAGCTCACCGGAAAAAGGGTGTTCTTTCAGTCAATGTTACTTTATTAAAAATATGAGTTTAGATTGGATGGTAGTGCTATAAAAAAATGTATGTATAAATTATATAAATCGTATAGAATATACTTAGAGTAGGCTACATTCCTTTAAGTAGATTAGTCTACGAAGCTTTTAAGTTTAAATATAAGATTAGCAATATTACTTTATTGGAACGATATTTAAATTAATTAATATTTTGTAAAAATACATTTGTTTACAAAAGTAGCAAATATTTCTCTACACCAAAAGATTCTTCAACTCCAAACGATAGTTGGCTTGATTATTGGTTGTTTTTCTAAAAAGTAGTAAAAGAATGTTGACATCGAATCCATTTTGAAAGTTTGTGAACTCATTTATTCTCTTAAACAATAAATTAATTAACTTACTTATTGATTGTTAAACTAAGATCTAGTGCAAGAAACCATTTCAGGGGGTTTTTCAAAGAAGGATTTTAGCTAGAAGTGTAATTAACTTCTTCTTTGTCCAAAGACTATTAACAGTAAAGCACACTTACAACTTAATTAATACAAACTGATAATGAGTTTCGGTACTTATAAAAGTATAATAATTAGTTCTAAAAATCCTATTTAGTTTTTCATACACTTCCACTTTGAAAAAGATGTATTGCCTAAATTTTAGTTTGAGCATTTAAACGAATCAAAATGTAAAAACAAACAATTATTTTTTATTGGCTGATTTTGTTACACAACATTGATTTTGGTTAACAATTTTAAACCATAGATAATTTTGTTCGGGATATAACCTCAATAGTTACAAGGGCAGTCTTAAACAACCTGCTTTGAAACCTTAAATTTGTTTTGTTAAATCATCATATTGAAATTTACCTATAATCTGAATTTGTTCAGAAACCATCGTGATCCAAATTAAGGTGTAAATTCACTACACCTTAAGTGTAATTCACTACACCTAAGTAAATCACTCAGTGCAGTTGGTGGGGTTCTAAGCAAATTCTATAGTTTTACTCAACTCTATAGTTATATTATAACACTTTTTATACGACTTCAAGTTTTTGTATTTTTGGAATAGAAACAAACATTTCTTTCTACTTAACACCTGGAGTCAAATATAAACCTGCGTTTTTCTTTCCACGGTTGAGAGCCTAAGCCTCTAAATCTAACTGAGGTAGATTTCTCTTGGGCCTCGCTGTATCTTACGCGACTGATGAAGTGGACAGCGAATCTATATAGGATTTCCATCTAACGTTTTAGATTGATTGAAACGTTTCTTAGAAATTTGTTTTTTTTTATAAATTCGAAAACTCAAGATCTTTGATATAAATACATACTTTTAAGCCCGCACAAAGGTTTATTATAGTTTATTAAGGATCCATTTTGTCGATTACAATAGAGAAATAAGACTAACTAATATTAATATCAAGCCAATTGTTGAACTTTTTTGATTTTTTTTACTCACTTACGAATTTAAAATAACTACTTTCCCAGTAGTCATGGAGTTAAGTTTATACATGTCAGTAGTGGCTAATAACATATTTCTGAAAGGGTTCATACATCTTTTCTGTCCCTAGATCAACAGTTGAAAACTTAAAAATATTCTTAAAAATGATTTTTACTGTAGAAACAAAATAGTAATTGCTATTATGTAAATATATTATAATTATTGTTATTTTATAATTGTTTGGTGTTCGAAAATAGATGATTGAAAAACATCAAATCAGCCAATCATGACATAGCAGTCACAGTTTGAGTAAGACCTCGACACCACGTTATCATCTCCAGCTGTGCATCGTTTGATGTGGTGAGTGGAGGTCTGATTGGTGGTCTGACGAAGATTGGGGTCTGTGGTCAGAGCAATAGACATATTGCACTGTTCAATACCTAATTTTGAAAGCGAAAATGAGTTTTAATTAGATTACTATGGAATCCATTTTAAACCAGTTGGAACATGAGCAAGGGTTGAAAAGACACCTATACTCACTATAAAAACTGACATACATATTTCATTTATATACCCTGTAGATTTCTAGCCCAAATCATTGGGAGACTATTGAATATTGAGTGCATACAATATCGACTCACGCTGACTTAACTTTATTATCATGAAGCTATAACATATTGTATGAAACTATAATAGCAATAGCCTAACTTAAATTATCACCTAATATAATTTTTGTTTGATCCAATCGTTATCAAGATGGGAGCGGGATTTTCTTCTTTTACACCCAGGATTGTTGTCAACACTGTTTACATGTTCTGGATTTTCCACGGGAAATGTTGAGTTATAAGTTAGGGCACGTGCATTTAACTTTATAGCAAAAATACAATTATAAATTCTCCAGGCATAAATGTTTCACAGTGATGTTCAAGTTTAAAGAAAGGAAAGTTCTGTTTATATTCGGAAAGGCTCGTCAGGAAACACTTGTTCCATCATTTGTTTTATTTCGTTACTAACTCTTGAATATTTCATTAACCAGCGGTCTTTCCTCTTTTATCTTGTTAGACAATCACACATATATTGCGTTTTGTCCATAGTTTGAATATTTGGATATTTTGGCCAGTTTTTTATCTAGCTATTTATTTATTTCATTACCTGACAATTACCTGAGAGTTTCCTAACTTTGTTAATAGTTCGTGGAATAAGTAGTAGAACTTGCCTGAAAAAATCCAACAAAAACGATTGGAAAGTAGATTTCTATTTTACATCAGAAATATTTTGACATAAAAACTTTAAAAATATTCAAAGTAATTATTTATGGAATATTTTTTACGATTACTTTATTACCTCTGCGCTGCTTAGTTGGTTTAGTCAAGTACAACCAAAAACATTTGATGTTTATGATTATAAGATTCTGTGCCTACTCAGAATAAGACACGTCTGTACTATGTTAAACTTACAAGCAGTAATTAGTAAATGATAAATAATTAAACTCTGTATTGAGCTAAACTCTGAAATATACTTGTAATGACAATTTTGCAATCTTGGCCTTTTAACATGTTTATTTTCATGTATTATAATGAACAACGTTAAACCTTTTTACCTTGAAAATTCACCCCTCCCTCTTTCGTTGACCCTTCAGTGGGGTATCAACCACTGACATGACAGACAACCTATCTAAAGACTTAAATGAAGTAATAGATAACGGACACTCTTTTCTGTAAACTCCTACTAGAAAGATGAAATCGCTAGATACTTTTTACAACTTTGATTCATTGTTTGAATTTTTAACAGTGTATTCCTCTGAATAAAATCACTGGTTTGTTTTATAATGAAGACAAAACAAAACAAATCGGCTTAGTTCGAAGCCTAAATAACGGTCAGCATCACCAGCTTAGCTGGAGTGGGTGAAGAGAAAATCCCACAAATACAGTACCACTACCGTGTACCGTGTAGGTACGGTACTTTAAAGTGTATACAAACACTTTAAAGTTTACAAAGGGGTAATAACCTAAAGAAATAATTATCAAGACGTTTTAAAGAAATTTAAAATAATTTGGATTTTCTACATCCTTTAACAAGTTGTTTGTGAATAAAGTTATGTATTTAAACTTTTTTTAGGAAGTTACAAATTAGATTTATTGCGCATTGGGCAATTAAAAGACGAGTGTGCTTAATGTGCTTCCAAAATACAGGAGTAATAAAATGTCTGGAGACCCCCTATTAACTTTGTAATGAGTTACACCAGGAAAAGCAAACTCCTGTACACCTCTACAAACATAAAAGTGCAATTTTTGTTGGTACCTCAATTTCGTCCGAAACCCAAAAATGGGTTAATTTGGGGGTAGCTCTAACATTTAAAAGTAAAGCAACATCAAGTGACAACTCATTTTAAAGGCCATTAGTTTCTAGGTAAAAAAAAATAAACCCGGTCAAATTTAAACAACTATAACTAATATAGTTGAAATGTATCTTTTTTGTAATTTAGGAAACGAGTCATAACCTAACCAAGGATATTTATATGGCATGATATAAAATATGTATTTCCTTGAGGTTTCATTATCTCTCGGGTAAGGATATGGCTAATAAAAGCCAAACAAGACAATGTGTGTTTGTGAGCTAAGCGAGTAGACAAACTCTGTGTAGGTCATGACTAATGTCGTAATAATTCAAGTCCAGTGTCAGAAGTGTAAGCCTGCACATGCGGCTTTGTGTAATGAGTTTGTAAAGAGACTTAAGGGACGGGTTTGTGAAAATTCGAAATCAAGTTTTGTCAAAATAATGTACCTATATCATTACAAAATGTTTATACTTTTCATACATGATTATGATAGTATATCAACTATTAAGCATAGAGATCTCTTTTATATCCTATTAGCTAAAATAGAAGAAGTGACTAAAAGTAACGAGTTTTTAAATACTGTTATGTAGTAACAAAATATTTATTACTGAGAATTTAATTTAATTTAAAAATATATTTTCTTAAGTGTAGAAGAAATTAGCTTCTTAAATAGAAACTATAAGTACAAGCTGTGTAAGATGCAATGATTATCAGATTTACTGGTATCAAGTACGAGCGAAAAGTGCCATAATTAATATTACTGCCCTATTTGCGTTCTTGGTTTAAAATCGTGTTTACACAAGCAATCTATTTCATTTTGGTTTTCCAGAAAGACGTGTTGTGACCCTCGCTTTTCGGCAAGGTCAAGGATGTACTTCCCCGGGAGTTGGTGAGAGGCGTTCCCCACTCTGCAGCCTTAGCATTGAAATTCCCTGCCACGACGAGTGCCAGGAGGATTAAAATATATACAGATGGATATACAATAATAAGTTAATATTTATTTACATATATATGTACATTATAACAACTCTGGGTGTTTAGAAAGGTATGTTGTAGGTGGCGCCGACCTGTCCCTGTACTCTAGAAGATCCCGGATGTCTAGCAGCTCCACCGTCCACAGACAGAGTGCCCGGACCTAGTCTGGTGTGGCCGCCGACAGTAGCGCTGTAGCTGGTGCCCACACCACGTCTGTTGGTGGCGTCCACACCGCCGTGCAGACCGTTGTTGTGTTGATATTGCAGACCTCCGCCTACAGTCTGAGCTCTGTTGTAAGGACCTCCAAACACTCGAGACCCGTGTACGTTGGCGTCCAGACGACCGTCGTTGCCGCGGTGTAGAGGTATGTTGGCGTGGCCGTGGACTACTGTGCCACTGGGGTTGACACGGTCGGCTCCTATGTGCCAGTCCTGGAAAGATATTTTTTTCATGACCAAATAGAACAACAATATGAAACATTTTTGTCAATAGCAAAATATATATTTGGTTTAAAAGTGATGTGTGTATAAACACATGTTGCAATTAATGATAAATTAGATACCCTCACATATTTTCTGTTGTTGATCACAAGTTGCAAATGGGATGATGCGTAATTAATTTCTACAAAAACGTTCCAACTGCAATTTCGGGCAAATAATTTAATTTACAAGAACTACACAAGTACGTGTTGGAACATTGTTTACCGTAAAAAAGCTGATACAACATTGTTCAGAACATTTTAATTCTTAACAAATATTAAATGGTAAAAATAATGCTTGCGTGTTAAAATGTGAGCTTACGTATCAAGTGTCAAGACAAATACATAGGAAGTGATCAATGAAATGGATTGCAGTAAACCTTGGTGTAATACTGTAGATAGTATTTAAAAGTTGTCTAATCGCCATATTACAAGGTATTTAAAAATTCATTGTATCGTAACCCTTTTTTATAAAAAAGAGATTAAATTTCAATATTAACTGTACTCACCCTGTTGCCTTGACATAATGCGGATGACACCACCGCCAACAGAATTAGGGTTGTTTTTGTCATCATGGTGAGATTCTGAACAGACAATTAATTTTTCATGATTTAATACATTTAATACGTTTAAATTTATCTCAAGCTTATCTAATTGAATCTAAAGATTCAGTAAAAATATTTAGAAAACCTTTTTACAAAAACTTTAAAAAATGATAGTTTATTTTTCACAAAATGTATTAACTTAGATACTATTGGTAGCTCAGTAGTTAAAGTGAGCATTAAAGAGATATTATTGCAGATTATGGTATTATAGGTTTCATAATCAAGTAATAAATAAAAAATTAATTGAGATGCTACGTTTTTGCTATCTCGAAATGTACATTTTCAAACTAATTTACACAAAACATTAGGTAGCCTACTCAAAACCAAAAACATATTATTTGAACCATAACTATATATTATTGTTATAGTAGCATGTTAAAGTAGTGTATACCGGTACACTGAAGTTACGGAAATTTGTCTACAATATTATTTTTAACAACACAAACGCTTCAATAAGTAGGCATTTAGGAAACAAGTTCCGTTTACTAAGCTAGTGTTTTATGACAACCTACGATTATAATAATATTTTTGTTTTGAAGGGAAATAATTGAGACTGCTATAATTTAATAAATATTCACTAAGCATGTAATAAATATGTATTGAAAAGAAATTCGTTTTAAGATTTTGGAATTCACGTTTTTATTTAAGTTCGTAACGGTGTTTTGTTAGCATAGAAGCAATATTTAACAATATTTAATTTTATCAATATTGCGCACAATATTCAAATGTAAATCGTCGTAAATATTGCAACACAATGTATTACAAATAACAAAGCAACAATACTATTTCAAGAGACAGGTAGACTATCCTCTTTATTCATAAATATTACATTGATCCGGTATGTTTGAAATGAACAATTGAAATTAGCTAAAGGTACGTAACATAAACGTAAAAGAAATTAAATGGGATAGGCTGCTGTATATAGTTTGTTTAATATATCCTACTAATATTATAAATGAGAAAGTTTGGATGTATGGATGTATGTATGGATGTATGTTTGTGACAAGTGAACGCATTAACCACTGGACGGATTTTGCTGAAATTTGGCATGATGATAGCTCACATTCCCGATTAACATATAGGCATATTCTTATCTCAAAAATCCTTTCGGGCTCCGCCCCAGTGGCTCTATAGTTCCCCATGTTAACCTTATGAGAATTCATATTAAAAGGGAATTAAATAATTTAGTCAGCTGTTTCAACTAAAAAGTTGGTTCTATGATATGCAAAAGCATTAAAAACTTACAAGGATTACCAACAGGGTGCAGCACTATTATTTTTTTTTTAATTTATGACAACAGCTAATTTGCAACCAAAAGGTGAGTGAGCGTAGCGAACGAACTTCAACCAGGACGTGATTGAGCCATGTGAACGAGCTCACTTATGAAGTAAAACGGGGCAAAGCCCGCGGGTACAGCTAGTTTTTTTATAATTTACTCTGTTAAGTTGTAAAGATTTAGAAGAAAATAATACTTCTAATTAATATTTCATGACCATTATAATTAATAATATACAATAGAATGAATTCACTGAACGTTCATGGCAATTAGACTACTAACCTGGTAGTGTGGTAGGATGCTAGCAGAATGCTGAAGACGTTGCTGGCTGTGTACTGAATTCCTCTCAGACCAGACAGCTGATTATATACGCGATACACTTTGGCGGGAAACCCGAGATGCTGCAGCAGTACTTTACAGCTGATACTGACGCTCATCAGCTGACTACTAAATTTAGAAAGTCGCAATACTGATTTTGTACAGTACTGAGTTTACTCGTTTGCATGAACAAAAACAGTGGTTTAAATAAAAAAATATAAGTAAATATTTTACTTTATCTCCGCTGTCATTAAAACAAACAACTGTAAGTAGTTTTATAATAAGTAAAGTACTTATTAAACTGCAATTAAGTGTAAACTGCAATCAAATTACCATTAATTGCAACAATGTGTTATTAGATTGAAAATCTAAACAAATGTGCTTGGGTAAGCATTCATCTTACTTTCAGATCCCTAGAAGACTATTCTATGAGTATGTTTATTAGCATTTGGGTGCGTTGACGTTTTAACGTGCGTGTGTACATTTGCCATTTAAATAATTTTCCTACTACACGACCAAGTAGACAGGTTCCGTTGTGTAATAGGATGAGTGGATTGAAAGCTTTGTCCTTTGTGTGGTATAATCTCCAACAATAATACCCACTCGTCAGTCCAGCTCTAAACAGAGACGTCCTTAGTGCTTTGGGTAACAATAACCACTTGTATATTGTGCTATGTTTATCGAGGTATGCATACTGTGCATGTTACAACTACATGCAAATTGTGCATCCTAGAAATTGTTAATTTAAGTAGAGACGGGTTTGTGATTTCTCATATGAAATGGGTATGAATTTCGCAATGTATGTATATATTTCTATGAATAATGTGGCACTACACAAAAAACACACCTTATTGAATCTTGTTTTTTTTCATGGAAACAATCATGAGACAATAAACCCACGACTGTGGTAACAAACAAACATGTTACATAAATCGATCAAAGAGAATATTTTTGTTTGATCAAAGCCAACCAAACAAACAGTCAACCATCTTCTCTTTACCTGTGGTTAGGGTAAATCTTTGTGTAAAAGCAGAGCTTTTGATTTTGGAATGTTCGAGGAATAAACCTTGCTTTTTAAGTTCTTTCGGTTATATGACATAAGATGTTTGTTGCTCTAGTCAAAGATCTAAATTATTTTATATTAGGTACATTTTCAGTATAATACATTCAATAATCTAAAACTTTCGTTTCTCTAAATATTTATTTACTCTTCATATATGTAGGGATTGAAAATGTTCAATTCATACATAATTGAGCCAATTAGATGAAATAATACTGTATGCAGGCCTACTTTATGAGAGAATGTACAGTTTGAACCTAAACTTCCCGTTGACAGCAGCTAATAGAGAACGGAAATTGATATCCACAGCTTATATTAAAGGTTTTACGGAAATTCAGTTTATTTCTAAATTTGACGCCAGACGCAATTACTGCACCAATGTAGCAAAACGTTTTTTACATGATTACCTTTGATAAACATTCTAGATTAAAATTCTATTTTCGCAACCTGCAGTATCCACGGTCTTACAATATCAAATTTTAGTTTGGTTAAGTATTTGTTTAACATGGTAGAACACGAAAACAATAGTATTTATTTTAAGGTGCGAATAGTAATAACTCAATAACTTGTGCTTATAGTTGTAAATATAACAGTTAGTCAGTAATCTAACTCCAAAGGCTAGAAGACTAATCAAATCCTAATTATTATCATTTTTGCTAAATTAAATTACAAAAGAATATTGTCAATTTGAACCGTAAAAAATCTAAGTGAACAAAACAATGGGTTTTTATTGTTTTTTAAGTTCAGTTGAATACACTATCATACTTTAAAAATGATTTACCCAAACACTCATAGTAATAATAAATTAGTAATCCAAGTCGGAATGGTCAGAATGTGATGTATTCATTCCGTCCAATCAACTGAAAACAAATAAAAGGCGGATAGTGATCACTTCTTGATGACTTTCCACACGCGATATCGATTTGTCGGCGAGATCGGTTCCCAATCAGTCCAATCTACCTGGTACAGTAATTCACTTGAAGATTCAATCATGTTACCAAACTTGCAATAGAATGGTGGATGAACAACGCCATTGACTTTGGATCATGAACCGAATTACTGACGGTTTGTACCAACCGCTACTCAAGGACAACGTACTTGACACTTTTAGAAATATTGTTAATATTAGGTCTCCTATTTTAGTGTCAGTTATTATTAATGTCACAGATATTAAAAAATGAATTTAAAATGATTTGTGGGTTACTTGATAAAATATTCAATTGTCGGAATTGTACTGCAGCACAGTAACACTGTCAGTAGTTCAATTGAACTAGGGTTTTTAAATCTTAAAACCACAATTTGATTCCATCGAATAAAAAAACTTCAATTTGTCATTTTTATTAGAAGTACAAAAACCCCCTTTTTAACTATATCGGGAGAACTAGTTTGAATAAAGACCTATACTTAGGTTTGAATATTTTTCGCCGGTTATCTCTTTAGCCCACAACACTAATCATAGTAGTGCTCAAAATAACGTTAGTTGTTTTACAAACATACCTTGTATAAATACGGTTTAGGCTGTATTTCATAATCGTCTAAGATTACAACACATATTTCTAAAAGATAAAGTACTTCCATAAAATTACAGTTTCATTGACGCTTTGTTCAATAGTGTAATTATTTACGGATTTACTAAAAGGAAAATATCCTGGCTAAAGTGGTTTCCTAGCTTAAAAGCGTTTTGAACAATTTGTTTGATATGGAAGCAGAGTTTCATACCCACACCTGTCTTAATTTCAATCTGTTGTGGAGTTTCCCTAACAGGAAACTCATCCTTACCACTTGTTCGTGCTCTTTTTCATTTCACCTCGCTGGTTTCTACGTTTTGGTCAAACCCCACTTGTACTGGGACCGTATCTAATCTAACACAAGGTGGTTTCGTAAAATTAAATTTTGATATTGGTTATGAATCTATTCAGGGTTTAGTGTAAATTGAGTTGAATTCAACCATAACTTTATTTAGTTTTGTTTAAATTTAATTCAATTTAAATCCGATATTTAGTCTGTCATTAGAGTACTATGTAAAATAAGCTACTTACATGTCTAAAACTGATCTGGAAATGCAACATTTTAATTTGCTTTCCATCCTTTAGTGATTATATTATTTTTGTATAGTTGAAGATAAGCTAAACTAATAAATTATTGAAATATTTTATCTTTTCAATACTTGATTTATAACGGTATTATAAGTAAACGCACAATGAATTTCAACCCTCTAATAGAGATAGAATACATAAGTTTTGAATTTTAAGTAATATGCTAACTATACAACTATAAAATAAAGACAACATTATATAGACATTATAATCATATAACTATAATACAAAACATATCATGTCTTTATAAAACCGTGTTGAACATTTCGAGATGCAAAGAAAGAGTGCAATGGAGAGATCAATTGAGTGACGACAATAGGCAGCTCTGTAACTGCTGAGCAGCTCAAGAAGGGATTTGGTTCTTTCTTTGTTTCTATTCCCTTTTCGATGATGCCTAAATGGAGTCCCTAAGTCAAAATTTAAAACGCATGAGCTTGAAGAGTAATTAGAAATCATCAAAAACCTAAAGGGACAGAAACCTGTCTAACTGTTACATATACAGAAAGTTTGAATATTTTACAATATTTTGTAAAATATGTGATCTTATTAGAATTAATTTGGATATTAGATATACAAGAACTTTATAAAAACATTATAACTTTTAGTTAGAATATAGAACATTTCTAGATCTCATAATAATTGTGTGTGATTTGTTGATTACAACGAATTAATTATTTGTCTTCAATAAAAGGTAATTTAACATCGATTCTGTCTGGTGGTTCTATACTCCCTTTTGCTTGTATGATAAAATAATTCAACTTGACGAAAATGAAATGTTGTCTTGATTGTTAATGAAATTAGGCGTGATTAACATTTAAAAGCCAGTAAATCAAATATACATTTCCCTCATTATCTTACTCGAGTAGTATGAAATTTAATTTGAGATCCATCAACGATTTTAGAGATTGTTTGCTCTTTTAAACGACCCTTTTAGGTCATATGTATAGCTAACTCACTTTTATGCACACTTATTTACTCATATGTCAATAGTATGGAATCTCAAAATACAGCGATTATTATTAAGATCATCCTTTTTAATTAGAGTGTCAAATAACTTACTAATGTACATGCAGACAAGGGGTTACTTTATAAACTGTAAATACTTTGAAGGTCCTCGTTAAAAATTGCTATAACTTAATTAAAGGCTTTTTGTCATTAGCCTTGCAGACAAAATGAAGAAAGCCAAGTAATGTAAACCCGATAAAATGTAAATTTGTATTACAACAACCGTATTAATTGTTTACTAATTAGTAAAACAAAACAAGACCAATTGAAAACAATCCAAAACGATAGCACTGCATGTGATATGAAAGTTGCTGACCTATGACGTAACCGGTTTAACAGAAAGCCTGTACTCCACAGCTGCTGGTTCAGTAACCGGTGCGACCTTGATCTTGGCCTCGCTGTGACGTCACATATTGCAGTACTGTGATTCACAGCTGTAATGGTTTTTGGCGGGATTTCCTCTTGATTTATGAGTGACTAAAATCATTGATTATCCTATGCTATCGTGTAGAAGACATCGTATAGCCATGTCAACGTTGAAGCCAGTTTTAGAGTATATTTTTAAAAATGTATACAAAATATATCTAAGTGGTCATAGTGCTCACCTGGGAATAAGAAAGCTGCCAGTTCGATCCTGAAAAATTTCCAACGCTTTGATGACAAAGTAATTCCAGCTTTCCTTGACTATTGGGCTTGTAATAAAAGAATCCTGGCTGAATATCCAAGTCTTAGTCAGTAGCAAAGCTACACAAGGCATCTCACCTAAATCTAAACTAATAGAATTTCCCATATAGGGAAAAAGTTATTACCGTAGGTCTCTTGGTAAAACCTGGACCCGGGAC